AGAGAGAGAGAGAGAGAGAGAGAAAGACAGAGAGAGAGACAGAGAGAGAGAGAGAGAGAGAGAGAGAGACAGAGAGAGAAAGAAAGAAGGGAAGGAAGACAAAGGACCCAGAGGACGGGCAGCGACGCCAAACGAGCCAGTGGGAAGAAGGGCGACACGCACTCCTTGATGTTGATGAGCACAAAGAGCGACGTGCACTGGGCGATGATGTGCGTCAAGACCCCGGCATCGTCGAGGATCGGCTCGACGGCCAGGCAGCTGTCCGGCAGCGGCCACGAGTCGATGATCATGAAGTTGTTCTGAGGCGATGCCGACCACATGTAGAGGACGGCCGAGTTGCGCACGGCCGCGCAAAGGAAGACCGTCCCGCCCGACCGGATGAGGGAGAATTGCCGGCAGCCCCGGCTGCTGGGAACCGTGCGGTAGGGCAGTCGCAGGCTGCTGTCGACGGTCCGCTGGCCGGTGGCGATCTGCGCCAGCAGCGGCAGCGAGTACAGGCGGATCTGGTGGCCTAGGCGCTTGCCGCACAAGCTCGCCAGGACACCGTACTCGGTAACCGGCTGGATGACATGGAAGGCACCGGATCCGAGTTTGGTGACTGTGTGTGTGGGTGCGGGTGTGCGGGTGTGCGGGTATGTGTGCGTGTGCATGTGCGTGTGCATGTTCATGTGCGTGTGCATGTGAATGGACGCATGAGCATGTGCATGTGAATGAACACATGCGCATGTGCATGTGAATGGACACATGCATCGGGCATGGGCGCGGCCGCAGGCAAGAACACAGATAAAAAGTCAGCATAGGAGGCAGGCAGGAGACCCACAACGGGAGCCCGCCAAAAGCCGCCCTCCACTCGGGGGGAGCACGCGAGCGACAGCGAGGGAATGGCGAGGAAAGCCCAGGAGCACGCACGATCGCCCACCTTGTCCAGCTGGAACAGACCGTCCGGCGTGCCGAACAGCCACCGGGTCTCCAGGAACATGGTCGAGCAGGAAATGTCCAAGTTGAAGCGCTCCTTGGCCAGGAACATCTTGATGTGCGTGTCGCCGTCGGGCCGCGGCAGGGGCACGGCCGAGGCGGCCGCCGCCGCCGCCGCCGCCAGGGCCCGGTCCACGCGCTCATCAGCCCGGGCGGCCTCCAGAGCGGCCTCCGGCGACAGTGGCGTGATCGGGGTGGTCCCGGGCACGGCGCCCGTGGCGGCCACCAGGGCCAGATCATGGTTGATGGACACCGTGCGGACATGGATGCCGGAGGTGGTGGCGACACCCGCCGACGCTGGCCCGGCCCCGGGGCTGCCCCCGGAGGGGGATGACGAGGCGGAGGAGGCGGCCCCGGCCCCGGCCCCGGCGGTCGGTGTGGCCGGCGCCAGCAGACTGCTCGGCGAGGCCCCATCCATCGCATCGACCCCCGGCGAAAGGAGGGCGCTATCCCGCAGCTGGCGCACGAACCTGCCCATGTCCTGCTCCTCGTAGCTGTCGCTGGAGGAGTCCCCGGAGGAGTTGTGATCCGAATCGTCACCGGCCCCGGGGCCGGGCCCGCCGGGCCCATGATGGTGCCGGGCGCTTCCCCCGCCGACATCGGCGCCATGCTGCTGATGCGGCAGCGATGCCACGGCGGCCACCTGGATGGGCGCCATGGCCAGGCTCTGCTGGATGGTCATGTCCATGGCCGAGGGCCCGGTGTGACTGGCGGCCGCATCCGGTGGCGGCCGGTCGCGCGGGTCGGCATCCGGGTCCACATCGTGGAAGCGCTGGCCGTAGAGGCGCTGCGCCTCGCCGCGCTCCAGCACCACGGCATCCTGGGACTTCTTGCGCTTGGCGGCCGCCGCGCGCTGGCTCGACGAGGAGAAGAGATTCCCCGGGCGCAGGTCGATCTTGAGGCGGAGCCCGCGCAGGGCGCTGGCTCGGCGTGGCCCGGCTCCGGCCGCGGCCGCGGCCCCTTGCTCGGCCGCCCCGTCGTCCAGCGGCGGCAGGGACCCGGGCATGCCGCTGCCGAGCCCGCTGCCGGCAGTCCCTCCGGGTGTCAGCGCCCCGCCGGTGTGGAAGAACATGTCATGCGACAGGAGGACCTCCTCCGGGGGGCCCATGTCCAACTGCTCGAGGACTTCGCGCAGGACGTGGTTGGCGGCCGAGGGCTTCTTGCGCAGGGAGAAGCGCGAAGACTTGAGGAAGGGATGCTGTGTGGGTGTGCGTGTGTGCGGGTGCGTGTGTGCGGATGTGCCGGTGTGTGCGGATGTGCCGGTGTGTGCGGATGTGCCGGTGTGTGC